TTTTTTTTAATTATTTATTTTTGAGAGACCGAGAGACAGAGTGTGAGCAGGGGAGGAAGAGAGAGAGAGAGGGAGGCATAGAATCTGAAGCAGGCTCCAGGGTCTGAGCCGTCAGCACAGAGCCTGACGCGCAGCTTGAACTCCCGAACCGCAAGATCATGACCTGAGCCCGAAATTGGACGCTTAACTGAGCCACCCAGGTGCCCTGTGATTTTATTCTTGTCTGTTTTTTCCTAACAGCTCTATTGAAGTAATTCACACACCATTAATGCCACCATTTAAAAACGCAATTTAAACAAATATTAAAAAAAAAAAAAAAGCAAGCACAATTCTGAGGGTTTTAGTGTTTTCACAAGGTCGTACAGCCACAGCAGCTAATTCTAGAACTTTGTCATCACTCCCAGAATGGTCACTCCTTGTTTCCCCCCGCCCTAGCACCCAGGAATCCACTTCCTGTCTGTGGATGAGCCTGTTCTGGGCGTTTCACACATGTGGACTCCCACCCCGTGGGGCTTCTCATGTCTGGTTCCCTTCCTGAGCATCGTGTGTTCAAGGTCCGTGCTCCATATGGTAGCATGTATCAGTGTTAGGTTTTTGTTTTTTTTTTTTAATTTTTAAAAAAGTTTATTTTGAGAGAGAGAGAGAGAAGGAGAGAGAGAACATGAGTAGGAGAGGGGCAGAGGAGAGGGAGAGAGAGAATCCCAAGCAGGCTCCACACTGTGATCACAGAGCCGATGTGGGGCTTGAACCTACGAACTGTGAAAACATGACCTGAGCTGAAGCCAAGAGTTGGACGCTTAACCGACTGGGCCACTAGGTGCCCCTCATCTTAACCGTTTCTAAGTGCGCAGCTCAGTGGCATCAAGCTCACGCACACGGTCATGCAGCCACCCCCAGCCATCCGCCTCCAGAACTTGTCCCCAAACTGAGGCTCTGTCCCCACGAAATATGGACTCCCTGCCTCCAGCCCCGGCTCCCACCATCTACACTCTGTCTCTGTGACAGGACTCCTCTAGGGACCCCCGTGAGTGGGGTCACACAGGACATGGCCTTCTGTCTGGCTTCTGTCACTGTGCACAGCATCCTCCGGATCCATCCACATGATGGCAGGTGTCTGTGCTCCATTCCTTTATGTGGCTAATGTTCCGTTGCCGGCTGGTTTTGTAAATAAAGTTTTATTGACAGCCACGCCCCTGGTCATTTACATATGGAATATGGTTGCTCTTAGCCTACAGGAGCAGAACTGAGTTGCTGGGACAGAGGCTCAGTTTCCCCACCCATAACATGGGGGCGGGCATCCATTCCCGTTCAGTAGGAGTTGCAAAGATCACTCGTGTGAAGATACCGGCAGAAGACTCACAGGCACCGTGTGAACTCGCGTTTGAACGCACTTAACCGCCAGTCCCGGGAGGTGGGGCATGTTATTCCATTTTACAGAAGGGTTAACTGAGGCATGGAGGGGTTGAGTAAGTCACCCAAGATCACAAAACCAGGCAGCGGCCACTCTGGGCCTTAGACTCAGACCGTCTGCCTCCAGGGTTTACCCACGAGGTCTCTTCAGGACTTAATCACCGATCTCCTGGGTAATCCAGCAACTCTGCTTTTAGGAATCTACCCCAGGGACAAGACACACACATCCACACAAGACTCGCCCATGAAGGTTCCCAGCATTCCTGACGGCCAAGTTAGGTGGAAACAACCCAGATGTCCATGATTTGGTGAGTGGATTAAAGAGAAAAAAAAAAAAAAGTATGGTATAAGGTAGGTTTTAAAAAATTCATAGTCTCAGGGCACCTGGCTGGCTCCTGGAGGACATGGGACTCTTGAAATTGGGGTCGTGAATTCGAGCTCTGTTTGGAGTAGAGTTTACTTAAAAAAAAAAAAAAAAAAAAA